TGATAATAACGGTTTGAAGAATAGCTTAAACAAGTATTGGAATTATGTACGATAAGAAATTACGCAAGTAAAATCTCAGGAAATACCTGTTCAGAAAATGTACTCGTTTTCATAAATCAATTCCAAATCCGAAAACATTTATTAAATTTTTTCTAGAGACTCCCCCTAGAAAATAGATTTCCATAATGTTTCATTTCAGCTAAAAAAAAATGGAAACATGTTTGGCACGTGTCCTGAACTGTGTTGTTCAGAAACCATAATCATTTAAGCACGAGTTCTAAACTGTTGTGTTTAGAAACCACGTTTGGACAGTATACAAACTTCCCCTGCAATTGTGCATCATAAACTTGATTTTCTGATGAACACAGTAATGACACACCTGCAAAATCAGATCAAACAGATTTTGGTACCTAGACGAGCTTGGGTCCTGTTTTGTTAGTATCAAGTTGAGGAATATTGTAACTGTCAAACCATCTATTTCCGTTAGATGTCTTCTTTTTAGCACTTTTAACAGGTTTATCAGATACACAGTAAGAACCATACCTGTTGTTATCATACTTGTTATAATTATTCCAGCTTTTTTGATAGTTGTTGTCTCCATACCATCTGTTGTACCTTTTCCTGTTGACGAAGTCAGTGGTTTTACATGTGGAGCACATGATCCTTCTCTTGCTAAGATTGATTAGATCATTAGTGGATCTCATAATACAAGGAAGAATAGGGTTAGAAACAATAGAGTTACGAGACGAAACAGAATCAGCTTTATTAACCCAAACATTTTTAACTTTTGAAGAATAACTGGGTGATCCGATGACATACCCTTGATAATACTAATTTGAAGAACGAGAATAGTTCTTAGAAACAGTTGATTTAGGGTTTCTTGAATAACTGTTAGATTTAGAACAATCATAAAAGCTGGTTTTACACTGTGATGGAGAACCAGTTGGGCTTTGAGCACATGAAAAGTCATTTACTTTCTTTAATAACTGGTCTATGTCATCAGCAACTAAATCATATTTTTTTTAAGCTCAGTTCTCATGTTCAATTCAGTTTCAAGTTCTGTCTTTAGATCAGACAATTTCTTTGAAGTATCCAGAAGTTTACCTTCTAATTCCTTCTTCAGCTTCTCAAACATTTTCCTTTCTTTATCAAACTCCTGTCTCTCTTCATCTGAGCTGCTCTTTTCATTCTCAGGAGCAATGTCAAGCCACTTCTTCTTTTCTGCAAGCTCTTTCGCAATTGCTGCATATTTCCTAGCAATGTTTCTTTTTTCAAGAGCAAACAGTTTCTTTTCTTCATCCAAAGCTTTCTACTTTTGAGCAATACAGTTAGATAATTCAAGATTCTTGCTCAGACATTCTTCTTTAATCTCTTTCTTCTCTTTATCACTCTTGGCACGTTCCAAGATGATAAGCTGCTCAAAATCAGAAATTTGTTTTAAAAGCATTTTAGCATTCAGCTCCAACGAGTTAATCTTATTCTCAAAACATATACGTTCAGTACCAAATCTTTTCTCCACTTCAATCATCTTCTTCTTCTCATTCTCTAAAATTATCCTTTCAGCATTTAAACTATTCTCAGCTTATAAGACCTTATCCTTCTCTAGTTCCAGTAATTTCCTTACCTCAAACAAATCATTCTTAGATTTATGAAGTTTCTCTGTGAAATCTTCAGTCTCTTTATGTTTTGTTTCTGGAGAGAGTTCCTTACATCATTCAATTCATTTTGAACTTCTTGGAGTTTATTAAAAAGACCTTTATTTGACTTGCTCCAATTTTTTAACTCTTCATCTGTATTTTTTCTGACAAAATCCACAGTTTTCTCAAGTTTTTCAATCTTATTCATGAAGTCTTCTTCAACTTGTTCCATAGCTACTTTATGTTCCTTTTGTAGATCTTTAATGAATTCCTTATCTGCATGATTTTCATAGAATATGTTTATATATTTGTCTTTATAATCCTTCACACTCTTTTCTAAATCAGAAACTTTAATTTTCAATTCCTTATTCTCTTTTTCAAAGAATGATGCCATTTAGAATTCAAAGATTGATCAAGAAAAATGAATCTATGTAGTATATGAAATCAGATACAAAAATCACAATCTAAAGATATTACACAGATAATATCAGTAAATGCGAAAAATCTCAAAAAATCTCAAAAATTGTTCAGATATGAGAAAATCAGTGAAAAACAATTAAAATCAGTAAAAAAAACAGTCAAAAACTGTTAAAAACGGTCAAAAACCGTTAAAACTGTTCAATATAGTTCACACAACACAAAATAGCTCAAAAACAACAATATTGTTCAAATCACAGAAATTTGATGAAAATCAAACACAAAAGATGAAATCCAGATAAAACCGATAAAAATGAATAAAATCTGAAATCTGGATAAAAAGAATTTTAAAAACAATAAAATTGGACAAACTATGCTTCAAATCTGGATGAGTGATGAAATATGGCTAAGTCCTTTGATCAAAGTGTAACTCGTACAAGGTGATGGGAAAGGTTGGCTAAACCGGCTAAGGAGGTTACCGAGGAACAAGTAAATCGCTGGCCGAGGAAGGTGCTAGTCCGGACACGGGTGTTATCGAGGAAGCACTAAATCGGATAAGAGTGTATCCGAGAAATGATGCGAGGAATGGTTAAGTCGCTGGCCTGTAAGCGATGAAGGTATCCGGGTAAGTAAGTGACCGAGGTAGACTTGGTCTTGTGAGAGGATTCACTAAATCGGCTAAGCTTGTGAGCGAGAAAGACACAAGCTCGGACAAGCCTGTGTCCGAGAATTGGTTAAATCGGACAGACTTTTGTGCGATTAAGGGGTAATTCGGATGCGAGAAAAAATTGACCAAGTCCTTGAACCCGTGTACTTGAGCGATGAAGGATGGAACTCGGATGAAGCTATGTGCGATTTAGCTTAATACGGACAGGCTTATGTGCGATTTAGCCAAGTCCGGTCAAGCCTTGTGCGATGTAAGTCTAGAATCCGGCTAAGCAAAAAATGGTTAAGTATGGAATCCGGGTTAAGTCTTGAATGCAAAGAACTTTGAATCCGATCAAGGAATGAGCGATTTAGACCATGTATTATGCTATGAACGATTTAGACTCAAATTAATACGATCAAAACACAACAAAAAAACACAAAAACAGCTACTTTTTCACCAAAAATCGGATCAAAATCAGACTTTTTGAGAACTTTTTCAAGAACACCAAAACTTTTTAAAATTCACAAATTTCAACAAATCTCGAAAACGAATGATCAAAACACGAAACTTTGTGAATAACAAAGATTCACTAATCAATTATGCACACAATATATTAACATCAAAACACAAAAATTTGAAAGATTTATGAAGAAGAGTCTTGAAAAAATGAAGAACACTATAAGAACACAAGATTAACAGAAGATGAATTCCAGAAAATTCTTCAAATTGGTGATTTCTTCAAATTGATTTCACTGCATTTGGCTCTGATACCAATTGTGTGTCCCACAATATGATCAATCTTCATATATCATGATGAACAATGGCAATCTTCATGTTAGAACATCAAAAACAAGTAGAGAGGAAAAGTCAATTAGTCAACCCTTTCTATTTCACTCTCAATATACGTATGTTTACAATTAAGTTCTCTCTCTTCCAAATCACTAGAAGACAAAACTATTTATAGGTCAAACAAAGTAAGCTCTAATCAAAGTCAACAAGACTTACAAAGTCAAACTAACTAAAATACAATTATAAAACCTTTCAAGACGTATACAATTTAACACTAAAATTCAATCCCAACACGATTGCCGTCAAGAATATCCTAAAGTAAAATTTATTAACTAAAAAATTATCCTAAAGAAAATTACTTAAATACTCTTTTCCCCTTTGTTCACATATGTTTTTTGAAATTGTAAATTTAAAAAATTAATTTTTTATCATGATTAATCACAACCATTTATTGTAAGAATCAATGGTCAAGATCGGTTAACAAAATTAATACAATAATCATGGTTAACATTTAAACCAACCCATATATATATATATATATATATATATATATATATATAAGGGTCTATTCAAGGGAGAACTGAATTGTTTGTGGTAACTGTGAGAACCAATATTAACCACAAATCAATAGATAAATTAGGAAATTTATAAATTTGGTAATTTTTAATTAAAATCTTAATACAAGGATATTTTTGGTAATTTAAAACTCTCCTCTCTCCTCTCTTCTCTCTCCAGCCACAGTTCTCCGGCCTCCGTCCGCCGGCCACCGTCCTCCGGTGATACCACTATGATACCACTGTGATACCTAAAAATATTGACTATGTTAAACAAAAGATACATTGTGATCCCTAATCATATATAAAATGCATAGTGATACCACTGTGTTACATCTTTGATCGACCATACAAATGACATCAATGTGATACTCAAGCACATATGTGATGCATTGTGATACCATTGTAGTATCACCGGCGGACGGTGGCCGGAGAGAGAAGAGAGGAGGGAGGAAAGTTTTAAAATACCAAAAATATCCTTGTATTAATATTTTAATTCAAAATTGCCAAAATTATAAATTT